CCACCACGCTTTTAAAAAAACCTTTTTCTGAACATATGCGAAAAAATACCATTTCCCGCACTTGTATATTGCGTGATATTAGTGGTGCCGCGAGACGAGAGATTCTCGTCTCTCGTCTCGTCTTGTCTCGTCTCGAACGAGACGAGAGAGACATTTTCTCTCGAAAAAAGATTCGAGACGAGACGAGAGAGTGTCATCTCTCGACGAGAATTTCTCGTTTCTCTCGAACTCTCTCGGGCTCTCTCGAACAATTTTCTCTTTGCTTATTTGAAATTTTCAATTGCTTATCGTAACTTAAAATTTTAACATATTAGATTTCGAGATAGTCAAAAAGTTAACTATAACACACCTATTCTATAAATATTAAATGGTAACAAATGATACTTGTGTTATTAGGATTTTATAAATAGTGATTTATAGGAAAAAATATTTCTTATTTCATTTATACAATCATTTCTTATATTTAATCCATTCTGCTTTGGTGAGGTTACTTTTGAAAATAAGTTAAAAATTTTTAGGCGTTTTTTCGAAAAACTGTCAAAGAAAAGGTAATACACACGAATGTATTATATACAGTGGGGACGAAAATTGTACCCTCCTCTATTTTAACTTCTAAATGAAAAAATATATCAAAACAAAACCGAGGTAAAACTTTTTGTTATAACGAGATGCACTTTACTTGAGACACGTAAGATAGAGGGAGTTACTAACTTTAAATTTTCTTATGGAAAGTAGGGTTATGTGATACCTCATTTAAAAGATATTTTCTATATTTTTACAACAGATTTAGTTTTTTATATTTTTACAGAAATTTCATTAAATAAATTCATAAAGTAAGTTAAATTCTTTTTTTTATTAACCGCTTCAACCTCAAAGGATTATTACCGGAGGTATATTACCTTATAAATGCTGTTTTTTACAATAGTATATAATGAATAATTAACATTTTGGCTAGTACAGAGTAAAGTCAGTATCTTTTATAATTTGAAGCAATTTTTTACTGTTAGAGGAAACACTACACAAATGACAATTTTTTGTAGCTGGTACTTTGTTCTTATACAGACATGTTCTGGGCCTTTACTAATAAGTTACATTCTTGATAACTCTCGTATTAACAATTATTGTTTATTATTAAGAAAACGCTTCTTGTATTTACTAAAATAAATAAATTCAAAATATCAAAGGTGATTTAAAAACCACTTGACGTATTACATTTTTCAAAAAAAACTTATTAAAAAATTCTCTTCTAATATTATCTAATATTTCTTGGATTATTGCGGCACACGAGGATTATCAATAATGTAATTTTTGTAAAAACAAAATAACAAAATTAAAATTGTTTGCTAGAAAGTAAATATAATCAAAATATCTTTCAAATGAGGTATTACGTGACTTTATTTTCCATTAGAAAATTTAAAGATAGTAACGCCCTCTATTTTACGTCTCAAGTAAAGTGCATTTCATTACAACAAAAATATCATGTTTCTATAATTTCACATCTTTTTTGTTTTATGTCTCTATCTTCTTGCATTTTGAAAACATACTACAAAATGCTTTCTTATGACATCGCAGGATTGCATTAGAAAAAATCTAACTTCCAATTTAACCTCTTCCCTCCTCCCCGACTGACTTACAAAACAAAGTATTTTCGTTTTTAGTTAACGCCTAATCTGGGCCATTTATTACTTCAAATTTCAATTGTAAAACGACTGTGACAGACGGACAGACAGAGAGACATAAGTATTTCCTATTGCCAAATTTGGGTACTAATTAAGGATGTGCACGATGTATCGATGTTTAAAAAACATCGATTTTTAGGTTTCGATTATCGATGTTCAACATCGATGTTTTTTAATCCGATGTTATTTGCTAACATCGATTTTTACATTAACATCGATGATTTTCTTTTCAATGTTTCTTGGTTTTTTGTTAAGCGTCACGATTAATTTGATGGTTTAAATTTCTTTTTCCTGTTTTTTTGCTCTTCAATGAACGCTTTTGGAAAACATCGATGTTTACAGATACATCGATGTTTGAAAAAATTTGCGCATCCCTAGTACTAATGCGCAAATTACTTGAAAAATCATTTGTTTTTGTCTTACAAATTTTACCGTTTTTTCATGTTTCGTCTTTTTCAAATTTAAATTTGATATTGTTTTATCACGAGAGAAACGAGACGAGACGAGACAAGACGAGAGGAAAGCTCTCTCGATCGAGAAAAGTGTCTTCTCGTCGAGACGAGAGACCAGTTTTCTTTCGCCCTACGAGACCAGACGAGAGAGGCTACTCTCTCGTCTCGTCTTGTCTCGCGGCATCACTACGTGATATAGCATTAAAACCGATGATCATCTTATAAACACTAGATACGTAATGCATTATATTACATATCCTGTTTTTTTAATAATAGAGCAAATATTTTGTTCTATCATTTTCAGCACTGTTGTTTTTCTCATCTAAAATATAGGCGGGTAAAATAAAAATTAAAAGAGAGACAGCAGAAAATGTCATTATTGAGTATTTCCCTAACAAAAAAAAATGGTTAAATTTGCATCATGTGATCAGTTTAGATAATCGAAGTGCATTTAACCGATTACAGAGTTCATCGTTAAAAAAAATTGAGGGTACTAATAAATGGACACGGCATAATTTTAGTTGTCGAATTAAATCTATGACTTCCATTATCTATCACATGGAAGATGTTTGTTTCGGTTTATTTTTGTTTTTTCTTTTGAATATTTCCATTCTTATCCATTAGTTATTTATTAATTTAGTTATATAGGGCGTCAGCGGATGGACTGAAAAAGAGGAAGAAAAACTTTTTTTTGCCTCTTCGAAAAAATGTTATTCTTCATAAAAGTTTTTGCTTGTTTCAAAACTAATAATAATAATAATTCAAACAGATGTTGAATATCTCTTTTCTTTAATGAAATAATTACAAAAATGTAAAAAAGGAGAACTCAAATTTTTTTTGTCTATATTTCATTAAAGCAAAGAGATATTCAACTTCTTTTTAAATTATTAGATATTAAATTTGAAACAAGCAAAAACTTTTATGAAGAATAACAGTTTCCTTAACAGTTGAAAATATTTTTTTTTCAGCTAACCTGGGGACACCTTGTATAAATATAAATAGTTCTTAAAAAAAAAGAGAGAATATTGAATCAATAGTAATTAGATATATTTTACATTGAAATTGGCCAAAAAATATTTAAAAGTGGTCCCCAACAGGGGCGGTACCGCCTACCGGTATGCGATGAAGAGAGCTAAGGGGCCATTTTTGATCTGAGGCAAATTTAAGGAAGCGTTTAGGAACAACTGTCACCTCCTGGAAAATACTTAAAAGTACTCGTTTTTTCGAAATGTGGGCGGTAGACCAAAAAATTATGTAAAAATACCCAAAATTATGATTATTATTTACTTTGATTTTGATTTTGAATCTAGTTGGTACACATAATAAAAATGAGCTAATATCAAATCTTTAAAGCGAATTATAGATATGAGATGGTATCTCTTTTCTATAGGCTATTTCAGTTTCATGTTGTGGACAAAAAATTGCCAACATTATTTATCTAGTGTGTGTATATATGAAAGAAGATTAAAACAGTTTCCATTTTCTGCTTAGGTTTAGAAGACGATCTAATAACTTTTCAAACTAAATAACTTTTTCAAGAAAATTATATCGAACGATTGGACTAATGAAATCGCTGGATCAGTGCGTGCATTACTTAAATTAATGTTGTTATTATTATTAAAAAGCAGCGTTATTAAATAACAATTTCCAATGTTAACCTTCAAGTGGTTCCGTTTCGGTAGTTAACTAAATCATAACACACAACGAGATTGCAGGTACTTATACATATATAATATATATCTACCGTACAACCAGATACAGTGACTGGTTTTGTTCGTTATCGCGTTACATGACCACAAGGCACAAGCGATATGGCTTTTATTATTATACCCCAAATATGGTTATTTCCATTAAGAAGTACCTACTTAATGCATTTCTTTTCGAAATCCATTAACTTTCTTGCTAAAAAAAAATATATAAACAAAATAAAAATCTCTTCTTATTATTTTTGGTGAATGCGCCTGTTAGTAAGGACGCTTGGGCACATTTTCAATATGTATGATTATTTTAAAATTGAATAAATTCTTTAAATGGCCAGGGGGTCAAATATTCGTTCAGCGAGCATACCGTATGTCACGTCATGAACGACAATTTCTTATTATTTATTTTATTATCTAAAGTACACTACAGGATTATCAAATCCAAGTGACACAGTCTTAGAACTAAAACAACAATTGAAGTACAAAACAACTGAATATCTAAATAGTTTCCGGGATATTCAATAAAAACAAATTAGTTCTCTTTCTTTATTTCACTTCAGTGACGTTTATTTTCAAAAATAAACAACACCATTAGCCGAACTTCCACAATAAGTTAATAAAAAAATATTTTTTATTTATACGAAAACAAAAAGTCGCTTTAAAAAAATAATTTAAATTTTGTCCACTATTATTAGAGCAATTTACTTTTGTACTTCTTAAATAAGTTACAGAGCTGAACAGCCCTTTATCTATAAATAGAAGTCGATGTACACTTTAAATTGGATACAATATAATGAAAAAATCTTAGCTCTATTTTATTTACTGGCAAATTAACCATTTTCCCGATGATGTCTGTCTGTAACTATGACAAAAACACCAAATTTTATACTTAAACTTTAATCCATCCTGCATCCAGATTTTGGGCATAGTCGGAGCATTTGGGAAGCGTTTTTGTATTTTTGTTATTTATGATTGGAGAAGAAAATTCATCGAACGAGAATTGTTTGTGAAGTTATTCCCTATAATTTTTATCACATACAGTATTACTTTAAAATAAACCGTAATTGACGATTACAGTTTATTACTCCTACAGTTCTGTTTAATTTCATTGTTTTTCTTTCTCTTGTTTAATGTTTAATTAAAATCTTTGTTTGTTTCTAAATGTTTAGGACCGCCAGACCCCCCTAGCGGCACGCCCTGCATAACCACCACTCTAGATAGCGTTACGGTAGCATGGAGTAGCTCTCCATATGACGGAGGCAAAATCATAAACGGGTATGCGGTGGAATACTCCATGGTCGGTAGCGATATCTGGACCATAGCCGTCGACGAATGTCACTCTCTCAGTTATGTGGTTCGAGGTTTACAACCCGGAGGCAGGTACGTCTTCAGGGTGAGGGCGCTCAACGTCCACGGATATAGCCGGCCCAGCGTCGTATCTGATATTGTTCAGTTAGAGGAACATAGTAAGTAGATTTTTTTATAATTTTGTTCAACTTAACCATCAAAGTTAGTTAGAGGTAGAATTGATACACTTATCTGAGTTCAAAACGACTTACCTTTTAATTTTAATCTGAGTTTCTGAGTTTCCACCAAATTTATAGTGGTGTATGGGCTATTGAGGCCAGAATTTATATATTTTATTGTTTAATCTTAGAGACATAGTTAATTTCATTTGTATTATTGAACTCCGAATGACAAAGACAAATATTGGTACTTGGCCACCTACTAGATTCAGAGAACAAGTAAATGGTGATATATATTTTTCCTACGACCACTTAGGGAAGTGACACATATCACACTATATAGTCCTATGGAAAGTGCACTATATCACACGCGTATGAATAAGAATTTACTTTCCAACCGTGTACGAATATGCTACTTTTTGCAGCAGCTGTCACAAAATGTCAAATGCATAATTTCTATTTTGATCTTTGTAATGTCCATATTAATACTAAAATCGATATGATTGTTAAATTATTGAAATTGTTGTAAATTAGATCCTAGATATTTATCTTTAACAATTATTATTAAAATAATTTTAAAATAACTAAGATGTTTGCTCTTTATTCTGGTTAAACACATAACCGATTAGATGGTTAGAGCGTCAAACTTATCAACTTTGCCATTTGAGACCTGGCGAGCGACCGCGTTCAAATCATGGCGGGACCAGAATTTTTTTTGTTTTTTTTTTATTTTTTTTTGTTTAGAAAATATGAAAATTGAATAAATACGATTATTGTTGATTATTTTTTCAAATACATTTTAATTATTACAATAATAACCTGGTTTTACATTTTTTGATGAAATTATTTTGTGGTCGTAGGAAAAATATTGTACATCACTTGTGTGAAAAGTGATTTTCCACACTTGTGTGATAGTCGCACTCGACTTGTGCCTCGTGCGATAAAATTTCCCACTCGTGTGAAAAATTTCACTTTCACTCGTAATGTAATATACTATATTTTATTTAATTTAATATCGTGACACTATTTTGAATGAAGAATTTGCTTCTATATGAACTAATTTTTCCTCAGTTGGTGCTCTATATCATCGCTATTAATTGTCAATGTTTGTTTCCGGTGGGGGGAAGACAAAAGTAACTTCTTTATTTTTTATTCTTTTCTGAATTTTCAAATAATTTGTTCATTATATTAATTTTACATATAAGCAACTTTGAACTCTTTTCTGTCTTTTCAGATGAATGTAGTTATTTCGAAGCTAGAATAGTATCGGTGGAGCCCGGACCGGAATTCAAGGCTCGCTACGAGGTCCTGGAAGAGTTGGGGAAAGGACGGTTCGGCGTAGTACACAAAGTAGTCGATAAGGAATCAAATCAAAAACTGGCAGCTAAGTTTATTAAATGTAGAACTTCCAAAGATAGAGATAAGGTACAAGACGAAATCGATATTATGAATCTCCTCAGGCATCAAAAACTGTTACAGTTGGCAGCCGCTTTCGAAAACCCCAGAGATATGATTATGGTCATGGAATAGTAAGTATTGTTTTTATTGTATAGAATAAATTGTTAAAAATCGTTATAAATCGTTATAAATCGTTATAAATCGTTATAAATCGTTATAAATCGTTATAAATCGTTATAAATCGTGATAAATCGTTATAAATCGCTATAAATCGTTATAAATCGTTATAAATCGTTATAAATCGTTATAAATCGTTATAAATCGTTATAAATCGTTATTAAATCGTTATAAATCGTTATAAATCGTTATAAATCATTATCGTTATAAATCGTTATAAATCGTTATAAATCGTTATAAATCGTTATAAATCGTTATAAATCGTTATAAATCGTTATAAATCGTTATAAATCGTTATAAATCGTTATAAATCGTTATAAATCGTTATAAATCGTTATAAATCGTTATAAATCGTTATAAATCGTTATAAATCGTTATAAATCGTTATAAATCGTTATAAATCGTTATAAATCGTTATAAATCGTTATAAATCGTTATAAATCGTTATAAATCGTTATAAATCGTTATAAATCGTTATAAATCGTTATAAATCGTTATAAATCGTTATAAATCGTTATAAATCGTTATAAATCGTTATAAATCGTTATAAATCGTTATAAATCGTTATAAATCGTTATAAATCGTTATAAATCGTTATAAATCGTTATAAATCGTTATAAATCGTTATAAATCGTTATAAATCGTTATAAATCGTTATAAATCGTTATAAATCGTTATAAATCGTTATAAATCGTTATAAATCGTTATAAATCGTTATAAATCGTTATAAATCGTTATAAATCGTTATAAATCGTTATAAATCGTTATAAATCGTTATAAATCGTTATAAATCGTTATAAATCGTTATAAATCGTTATAAATCGTTATAAATCGTTATAAATCGTTAAAAATCTTTATAAATCGTTATAAATCGTTATAAATCGTTATAAGTCGTTATAAATCGTTATAAATCATTATAAATCGTTATAAATCGTTATAAATCGTTACAAATCGTTATAAATCGTTATAAATCGTTATAAATCGTTATAAATCGTTATAAATCGTTATAAATCGTTAAAAATCGTTATAAATCGTTATAAATCGTTATAAATCGTTATAAATCGTTATAAATCGTTATAAATCGTTAAAAATCGTTATAAATCGTTATAAATCGTTATAAATCGTTATAAATCGTTATAAATCGTTATAAATCGTTATAAATCGTTATTAATCGTTATAAATCGTTATAAATCGTTATAAATCGTTATAAATCGTTATAAATCGTTATAAATCGTTATAAATCGTTATAAATTGTTAAAAATCGTTATAAATCGTTATAAATCGTTATAAATCGTTATAAATTGTTAAAAATCGTTATAAATCGTTATAAATCGTTATAAATCGTTATAAATCGTTATAAATCGTTATAAATCGTTATAAATCGTGATAAATCGTTATAAATCGCTATAAATCGTTATAAATCGTTATAAATCGTTATAAATCGTTATAAATCGTTATAAATCGTTATAAATCGTTATAAATCGTTATAAATCGTTATAAATCATTATCGTTATAAATCGTTATAAATCGTTATAAATCGTTATAAATCGTTATAAATCGTTATAAATCGTTATAAATCGTTATAAATCGTTATAAATCGTTATAAATCGTTATAAATCGTTATAAATCGTTATAAATCGTTATAAATCGTTATAAATCGTTATAAATCGTTATAAATCGTTATAAATCGTTATAAATCGTTATAAATCGTTATAAATCGTTATAAATCGTTATAAATCGTTATAAATCGTTATAAATCGTTATAAATCGTTATAAATCGTTATAAATCGTTATAAATCGTTATAAATCGTTATAAATCGTTATAAATCGTTATAAATCGTTATAAATCGTTATAAATCGTTATAAATCGTTATAAATCGTTATAAATCGTTATAAATCGTTATAAATCGTTATAAATCGTTATAAATCGTTATAAATCGTTATAAATCGTTATAAATCGTTATAAATCGTTATAAATCGTTATAAATCGTTATAAATCGTTATAAATCGTTATAAATCGTTATAAATCGTTATAAATCGTTATAAATCGTTATAAATCGTTATAAATCGTTATAAATCGTTATAAATCGTTATAAATCGTTATAAATCGTTATAAATCGTTATAAATCGTTATAAATCGTTATAAATCGTTAATACGTTAATACGTTAATACGTTAATACGTTAATACGTTAATACGTTAATACGTTAATACGTTAATACGTTAATACGTTAATACGTTAATACGTTAATACGTTAATACGTTAATACGTTAATACGTTAATACGTTAATACGTTAATACGTTAATACGTTAATACGTTAATACGTTAATACGTTAATACGTTAATACGTTAATACGTTAATACGTTAATACGTTAATACGTTAATACGTTAATACGTTAATACGTTAATACGTTAATACGTTAATACGTTAATACGTTAATACGTTAATACGTTAATACGTTAATACGTTAATACGTTAATACGTTAATACGTTAATACGTTAATACGTTAATACGTTAATACGTTAATACGTTAATACGTTAATACGTTAATACGTTAATACGTTAATACGTTAATACGTTAATACGTTAATACGTTAATACGTTAATACGTTAATACGTTAATACGTTAATACGTTAATACGTTAATACGTTAATACGTTAATACGTTAATACGTTAATAGGTTAATACGTTAATACGTTAATACGTTAATACGTTAATACGTTAATACGTTAATACGTTAATACGTTAATACGTTAATACGTTAATACGTTAATACGTTAATACGTTAATACGTTAATACGTTAATACGTTAATACGTTAATACGTTAATACCTTAATACGTTAATACGTTAATACGTTAATACGTTAATACGTTAATACGTTAATACGTTAATACGTTAATACGTTAATACGTTAATACGTTAATACGTTAATACGTTAATACGTTAATACGTTAATAAGTTAATACGTTAATACGTTAATACGTTAATTCCAAAATCCATAAATACATTTTTAACAAATAAAAGGAGGAAGAAAAGCAAAAGTATTTAAGTCACTCTCACTTACATTTATAATTTTTAGAGTTTTTAAGAAAACAATAAATTAACAAATAGATACACACACAACATTATCAAATTAAAATTTTACTACATTGTTTATTTGACAGCAGCCGCTAACTTGACCACGAAAAGTGTGTTGTGTTGCCTAGTTACGTAAAGATTAAAAGTATAAGTTATGATTAGCGCGTAACAATATTTGTGTAAAGTATATACAGGGTGATTCATTATGGGTGGCGACCGGCCGTATTTCAGAATATCTTGATTTAGAATTTTTTTGAAACAAACGTAAAACAGGTCAATTTTTATGCAATTTAAATAGAGAAAGTATCAAGTATGATACATCGTCGGAAAGGTAATTTTATGGGAAATTCAGCAATATGACTGCTCATTGCGTGTCTTTTAATTTTAGCTCCCTCTAGCGGGATAAAAAATTATTACCTATGGTATAGTGTGACGCTTAGTTTATTAGCTAATTTTATTAGTAATTTAATACACTACATAATATTATGTTAACTAAATTAAAAATGAACTTAAAATACGTTAATGCATTATTACTAAATTTATTTTGTTGCAAGTGCAATATAAAGATATCTAGATTAATGTTATGTGGTGCATTGTATTACTAATTAAATTAGCTTTTAAATGAAGTGTCACACTGTTACCATTGGTAAATTTTTTATCCCGCTAGAGGGCGCTAAAATTAAAAGGAACTTAATGAACAGTCATATTGCTGAATTCCTCATAAAATTATTATTCCGACGGTGTATCCTACTTGGTACTTTCTTTAGTTAAATTGTATTGGTTAGATTGACCTAGGGAAGAGAAATGACATATGACAGTTGAGGATATTTTTGCAGTTCTTTCAAAAAATTCTACTTCAAGATATTCTAAGATACGGCTGATCGCCACCCTTAATGAATCGTCTTGTACATCTCTAAAATACTTCCAAGATCACTTAGAAACTCTGTAATTCAAATTGTTGGCACATCCACTGTTTTAAGTTTTAATTTTATCAAAAAAAAATCAATAATTTCAAATTATAAAAAAAACATTCCTCGGTGAGGATTGAACTCATAACCTTAAGATTAGGAGACTAATGCGCTACTCTCTGCACAAACGAGACATGTCTAATTCACATGTTCAACTAATATATTCAGTTTAGTCTACACTATATTTTAAAATGCCGACTGGCTTAAATGACTAACTTTATATTATTTAGGAACCTATATGCGCTAGTTCAGTGTGATGTTATTTTGGTTCCACTGACATTTATTCTAATCAAACTTTTAACAAAAACATCAATAAATTTGACATAAACGTTTTTGCTGTTTTTATTTTATTTTAAAATAATGTTTACAGGTCATAAAAAATAGTTTAAAGGTATGTAATTGGTAACTAAACGATTGTATATTTGATACATGCTATCTACTAACTTTATGAATATATTTATTAAAGTGAAAAAAACGATATAATTTAGGTAAACAAAATGAACAAAACGCACTCAAAAAATCTAATGTCACTTAAATTGTCAGTGGAACCATAATTACATCATCACTGAACTAGCGCATTGAAAATGAAAATAGGCAAGCGCCAGTAATGTCAAATAATCGCGAAATCGTCATCTTTCTAATTATTTTTGAAATGTGCAAAAGCCTACTTTGGATAGTAATCGAAGAAAAAAAGTTTATTCTTATTGTTTATTTGTATTTCAGCATTTCCGGTGGGGAACTGTTCGAACGAGTGGTGGCCGACGATTTTACGCTTACCGAAAAAGACTGTATACTATTTATGCGACAAATATGCGAAGGAGTGGCGTACATGCACACCCAGGACATCGTCCATTTGGATCTGAAACCCGAGAACATCATGTGCCATACGAGAACGTCGCACGAAATCAAAATCATCGATTTCGGATTGGCTCAGAAATTGGATCCCAATGAACCAGTGCGGGTGCTGTTCGGTACCCCGGAGTTTATACCGCCCGAGATTATCGGGTACGAACCCATCGGAGTTGAGTCAGATATGTGGTCGATTGGTGTGATATGCTACGTGTTGTAAGTACCTTTTTTCTATTTTAAACAAGATCTCTTTATTATTATGCTCCTAAGTATTCTACAAAGTTGATGCAGCACTCCCTATTAAGCGTCTCTACTTAAACATGTTCCCTAGTTTTTTTAAGCAGAACTACGTGTTTTGAATAATAATTAACGTAGTATTTAAGTATTTAATATTATTTAGTATTTATTTTAGTCTTTTGGTTAATTTTAATGAATTTCTATTATTTTGCACATCATTTTAACACTTGAAATTAATAATTCAACGGTTTTTAAAGATTCTTGTCCTATCGTTGTGATTGTTTTTTCTCGATGTTTTGCCATTTTGGGTATTTCGCACTATTTATGCTTTAAGATTTTTCGGCTATTTTTAACGGATTTTTTTATTTTGCACTTATTTAGCGTTCTAACGCTTGAAACGACAAATTCAACGGTTTTTGATTGATTCTTCTCCGTATTATAATAATTGACCCAGTTTTGCGGTAAAATAGGTTTTTTAATTCTTAAACACGTTATTTATAATATATAAGCTGAATTATTTGATTTTTGATTCAATTTCTCGAGATTTTTTGGTATTTTGTTTTTTCGTACTATTCAAGCTTTAATTCGTTTTTTTTTAGCAAATTTCTATTATTTTGCACTTATTCAGCTTTCTAATACTTAAAACGACTAATTAATTCTATTAATTATTCTCCTTTTAATCTAGGTTTGCGGTAAAACAGGTTTTTATTTCGTACACAAGTTATATGTAATTTTTAAATTGAAATATTTTAACATAATTTTCGATTTTTTTGGTATTCTGGTTTTTTTCGCAAAATTAAAAGTTTTAATTCCGTTTTTTGACTATTTGGTGTTTTAGCACTAGAAACTACTAATTCAATAGTTCTCCATTTTTTCTTATCCGTGTTATAATAATGATTCTGTTTTTGCACTAAAATAATTTTTTTATTATTGAAACCATGACCTTAGGGCATACTAACCGTCTCCTATTAGATAAAATCCTTGTTGCTGCATGTTCAAAGGTAACAAGCATTTTTTAAAAGATACTTTAGTTACTTACTTTATGAAGCACCCCCGTATAAATAATGTAACGTAATATTGTATAGTTAACATAAGAACCACAATATATTCCATTATTCAATCTATAGTTTGTATTACCTAATTTAATAATCTTACATAAAATAAAAATCATGTTTACAATTACATAAATAATAACCTAAAATCAAAGCCAACCCTTGTAAATGCGGTTTAATGTATTTTAAAATATTAAAAAAAAAAGCTTCCGCTTGGTGACAAGATACCTGCAAGCAGTTGAAAACCGAGGAGAAATATTGCTTTTTCACTTTGTGAAAAAATTCCGTATAAATAAACATAAGCTCTCCCAGTCACAGATCTATTTCACTCGCACCCGCATAAGCCCGCAAAATAAATTGTTAAGTAAATGACATCACTCTATCTCATTCCACGTCAACTTGGCCAAACCACAGCATTTCTTTAAACCAATCACAAGAAAGTGACACACTCCTAGACTCGACGCGATGAAGACTTTTTTTTCAACAGAGAACTATTCGAACCTCCAAGCAAGCAAAAAATCGATCTCCACGCGAAACAATCCCAATTGCAACACTATAACAAATTATATAAAAAGATCTTTTAATGTTTTGAATTTAGTTATATGTAAAAGTATTACTCAGTTTTTATGTGCTTATTAAATACAAAGTTTATAAAGTGAAATAAACCAGTTATCAGAATCAATCATTTTAATTTCTACATTCCACAACAATCAATATATCAACTTGTCTGTAAGATTTTCTACAAAATTCTCCATTTATATACAGTCCACAGCTCCACCCTGTAAGACGGAATAAACCGTTACGCAAACAGTGATAATTTAAGAAACAACAACGCCGATCTACAACATTGCTCTCTACCTAAGTTCACCAATGCCTCATTAACTGCCTCTATCCAAAATATTGTCTGCTACAATTTCAACCTATTCTAAATTGCAGCTTGCAGTACAAAATTATTCGTATTACTTAATATTGGATTTGTGAACATGTGGTCATAACAAAAACAACTATTGAATTTTTCAACTTCACCAAATTTTGAGAGACTTTTTCTGTGAAATATGTCAAGAATGATACAAAATAAAAAAAAGTACTTACATTTCTCATGATGATTAAGTTTTGGATTTTACACCAAGCAAATTTGTTTATAAAATACCTAATTTTCATAAAATTAATAGTTAATAAAAAATTTTCTATATGGTTCCAACCTAAGTAAATATTTACGACTTGCATTTATATATTTCTAACTATACCTATGTTAAAAAAGTACCCTTTTTACTTCTTTAGTTCTTTAGCAAATAAATTTGTTTTCAGATTATCCGGACTGTCCCCGTTCATGGGAGACAACGACTCTGAGACGTTTGCGAACATAACGCGAGCTGATTTCGATTTCGAAGACGAAGCCTTCAATACGGTCTCGCAAAACGCCAGAGATTTTATCGGGGCACTTTTGATCAAAAGAAAAGAGTAAGTAACATTATTTCGCAACGAAATTATATCTGTTTAACTTGAGAATCAGTTGATTTTCGGAACACAGCGCTAAATGACAGTTGGCAAAGCGCGTCACCGAAGGTCAAGCAGTTGTCATCGATTGTGATCCTCGCACATACTTTGATTTTCTTTTACTATACGGAGAATGGTCGCACTGCGCAGCTTTCTGAGTGTCTTTTAAAAGGAGAGAAAACTCCGCCATTTTGATCCCTTATTACGTGTTGCCCATATCTTGGCGCAATATTTTTAATAGGTGCGTTTTAATCATCCGCTTCTGCTTTGGAATTGTCGGTTTTCTTGTTTTAATCTGACAGGTTAAAACGACTAAACCGACAATTCCGGAAGCAGAAGCGGATGATTAAAACGCACCAGATATTTTGCTTGCTGCTGTCAGTGTCAGTGAATATTATTTTTGGAGTCATAGTTTATTGCTAAAGAATCAGTTAGCTCACTCGGACCAGTTGAAAGTTCCAAAATAACATCCACTCCAGGTTTACAAATTCAGGATATGCAGAAGACTGCTGTTTTATTATAGGCGGTTATCATATATTGTATTATCCGAGTTGCGCAGTGTATAAACTGGAACATTGAGATCAAAAGTGCCGACGCAGAGTGAGCGATCTGATTCTTTAGCTATAAACTGTGGCATAGGAATCAAAATGGCCGCGGCCTATGTTGGGCGTGTCGGACCTCTCTCTCGTATCATGTCTCATCTTGTCTGATGTCTTCTTTTTAAGAATAAAAGCCCAGTATAATTAACAATACAGTAGCGACAGCTTGAGTCGGTTCCTTTGATGTCGGGGTGGTCAGACATTTTTATTGACAGTTGACGTTTTTGCCGCTATTTTTATACTGAAAAAAGTAACTTCAGAATTTCTTGTCCCTTTGTCCATTTGAATAAAATAGCACACAATAAATAAAAGATGAAAACTAAGTCTAAATATAAAAAAATGATCAATCAGATAATAAAACAATCAACAACAATTAATCCGATGACAATTTACATATGCCAGTTTGACATATTTGTCGCTTATTTACGGACATGCGCAGAAAAATATGGAACAATGAACTGTCGTTACTGTAATATTACTTATACTAGGATAAAAGCTTAAAAGATTTGTCTTTGTCTCGTTTAATACACAACTTAAAATGATAATCATCTTGCAGGGATCGTCTGTCTGCCGAACAATGTCTCAAACATGTTTGGCTTGATCCAGAAACTCATCAAGAAACGGTCGTTCTATCGACTGATAAACTGAAAAAGTTCATCATACGTCGCAAGTGGCAAGTAAGTATCATGTTGTGATGAAATTATGCATGGCCATTTTCATATTTTGCTCAGAATTTTGCTACTAATGTAGTATACAAGTAATATCACTGTATAGAGGTAAACGGGAAGTAAAATCATCCGACACCATCTTGTTAAGATTTAGTAACGTCACTTTGCTGTCACGTCACTTCGCTTCCAGTCCCTGAAATTCGTGTATTGAGTAAAGTGACCATATTTTGAAGTAGAAAGCGGAACAAATCGAAAACCGTCGTCGAATTCTATTTGCAGTAATGACGTTTTGGTTCATTGAAGACCAAAAAAACTTCACGTCACGTCGCCATACAAATTGTATGTTTAGGTGTTTGGCGGCTTAAAGAAATATTTTTCGGACAAAGGCAGGAGAAAATCATTTTTAATCGGAAAAAAGCGGGATAAACTCGAGACACATGCTAAATCGGGAGTAGTGGTTTAAAATCAGGACTGTCCCGCCTAAATCAGGACGGATTGTCACTTTAGCGAGCAAAATATTAAGCTTTATCTAAGTATAAGGTGGAGTAAATGCAGAATAATAGTGTAATGAAAAACTTTTTTTCTTGTATTAAAATATGCTATCCTTGTCAGAATGTTCCTATAGGTTCTTTTTTTTCCGTTGGAATTAGATGCAAATCGTAACCTAAAATCACCTAAAATCACCTAAAATCACCTAAAATCACCTAAAATCACCTAAAATCACCTAAAATTACCTAAAATCACCTAAAAGCAATAAAAGAAACCAAAATATTTTATTTTATGAAATTTGTAATGAAAAATAACTTTCTTTTTGTACTGATCCAAACAAAAACAAAAATTTCTAAAAAAGTATGTAGGCCATGGAAAAAATATCACCCGTCAGCTCATACAATTATTCTTTTTTAAATGATAGTTTGGAATTCAAAGTTTCTGTAACAAGATTGAAATGAAAATTCGATACGAGTGGCAAAGTTTGAACCGCAAGTATCGGATTTTCATTCCAAAGAGTAACAGACTGTAGTATCCCCACGGCCACAGACACAGTAGTTGAATATTGTAAAATGAAACTAAGAAAAATGAAATATTTAATCTGAAGAAGTATTACAAACGCCGCTTATCTTTATTCAGACACATTTAAACTAAATAATAATAGGTACATCGCGTAGAACTGTCAATCATGAAATTCGTGACTATCTACGATTCGGGCGTGATATTCACATTGGCCAGTAGATATTATAGAATGAACATTCGTCACTAGAGTTAGAATGAAATACGTGTAAAAAACATAAGAGTCAAGTGTTTCAGAATTTTCTTTCAAGCTTAAGAGCATGTTATTACAAGTGGTTTCGGAAGAAACTTTTGTGCCACTTGTTTCAATATTTATTTAGAAAGATATTTAAAAAATGTATTTATTTCATCTTTTATTTTAAAGAGTTTTACTTTTCATCTCTTACATCGTAGTTTATTTTATCCGTTGTAAACTTTTTAAAATTAAAATGCCAAACAATTTGTTTTGTTTCCCCGTAGCACGCTACGCTACTGGCTCTGAAGTGTTAAAACTACGTTAACCCCTTCGAGCATATATATTTCATAGAGTTCACATTCAATAGGGTTTGTTTACGTTATGAGGGGAAATGCCTAGACACTATTACCAGTGTCGCATCATTTTTATGGGGTTTGCAATTAATGTAAATAATAAATTTGATACATACCTTCACAATTCTTTAAATTATGCACATATTTTATAAACTTGCCTTATTTAAGTAGGTACCTATTTAGCAATAGTAAATAATAATTATTATTTTTATTAATAATATTATTTCTGTTGGAAACATCAGATATATTTTTTTATTCAAACATCAGAAAGTGTATAACCGAAAAATTAAGGTTGAAATAATAGGCAATAAAAAAGATAAAAAGCTTATATTTAAAAATCAAAAATATAAATAAATAGTAGATATATTATACAAATATTTGTGATATCTCTTATCACACGTGTACGGGAATTACAATACAAAAACTTTTTCCAATAATTTATTAAATATAAAAATATTGTTCGTAACCAATATTCAATAGATTACTAAACCATATACTACAAATAGAAATCAAGCTAATATTTAGGTACTTAGGTACATTTGCACTGCTGGTCGTTAACAAATAAGTAAAGCTTCATTTTTATTGGAAAACTGTCTTAAGCTTCGATTATTTATTAGGAGTGCAAATAAAAGAAGCTTAAAATTACTTTTTCATTGAAAAACTCACATTAGGTTTTACTTATTTCTTAACGACTAGTCTACTTAATTAAAGAACATAGGTACATTTAATACAAAATTATTATTGTCAATTTTTGTGGTTTATAAAAAATATAGGTAATAATAGGTAATTATTTTAAAATAAAATTTATGTTCTATTAAAAAGTACTTAGTTACTTGCATGTTTTCAAATTCTGCATTTTCTTTTCCTGCAACAGAGGCTTCATGATTCAGATCATCACTGAAAAATTAAACATTTTGAACGATTAACCCACAAGAAAAGTGCAGGGTCCTTTACCTTCTCTGTATCTGTAACGTGTGGAGAATGGGTTACCCCACGGCACTTAGGCCTCATTATGCCCATTGTGCATCCTCCTGAGATGATAGGCACCTTCTAGCTCATGAGCCAGCCTACAGATTTAATACAGTTGACAACGTCGCCCAGAGGTGCTTCTCTTATATCGGCCGGTGTTAGCCGATACTCGCCGAACACAAATCTTTTAATAAATGAGAGCGTCGAGCAATCGTAAAGAATATGCTCAATGGTCTCATCTTCTTGTTCGCACTCTCTTCAGAGTGCGGATTCTGACAATCCCATAATATGGAGATGCTTTCGTACTTGGCAATGACCAGTACGAATGCCTGTGACTAAAGGCAGATTCTGTCTAGTCATAGTCAAGTATTTGTTTGCTGCAGTGTTGTCAGGATAACTTAAGAGCTCCCTAGCAACTCTGCAGTTTCTTGTGTCATCCCATCTTTCCTTGAATTTCATCAGGGAATATTCTTTGATTAGGTCTGTTACTACTGATTTTGTCAGGTCCAAAAAGTATTTGGTTGGCTGCTTTCTTGGCTAGTGAATCAGCAAGACGGTTACCTTTCGATGTGGGGTGACCTTTGATCCATCTTAAGATGACCACGTTGTTGATGGATACTTCGGCCAAAGCTTCGTGACATTCTAGTACTAACCCTGAGTAAATTCGTGGTCTGTTCAGGGTGAGTAGTGCTTGTCTGCTATTGTATAGATGAGCATGTTCCTTCCAGTGATATTGTTTCTGGTTATTTCTTTTGCTGCTATGAGAATCCCCGTTAGCTCTGTTTGAACTACACTGGCACTATTGCTCACAGCCCATTTTATGTTTAGGTTTAAGAATCTGGAGTATATTTTACATCCTGAGCCTTGTGTTGTTTTAGATGCGTCGGTGTAGATATGAATCGTATCTGCCACTTCCGGCTCTTCTATTTATTCTATTATAACTTTATATGGCTTATGAAAGATATATTTCGGTGAGATGGAGTCCACGTTCGCTTGAAGCAGTGGGAGCGTATCGAGCGCTTCTTGCCAAAAATGACGTCTCGTCTCACCAGATCCTACATCAGGTTTTATTCTGACCGTGCGGAGACGTGTTATTGTCGTCAGAGCAACCTCCTTGATATAAATATCAAGGGGAGTGAGACTAAGAATAACTTCCATGGCCCTGGTCGGTGTTGTTTTCATGGCTTCTGTTGAGAGATGCTGTTCTTTGAATTTGTTCTAGTTTACGGATAGCTGTTAATTTTTGGATTTTCGATACCCAGACAACTGCACCGTATGTTAGCCGTGTAAGTCCATACCTTCTAGATTCATCTTTTTCTGGTGCCTCAGTAAATGCTGATGGCAATGCACCTGGAATTAATCTAGTTCTTCCTCCGCATCCAGTATTTGACATACATATATATCTAGAAAAGTTATTAGAACATAAAACATTACTATGTGAAATGTTTTCTGGAGTAAGTTCTGCAGGATTAGCTGGAAACCTACAAAAAACAAAAATTATTGATGTCCAAATTAAAAACAATATTCCTCATACGACATAATACAAGTTCTTTAAATTTAATTCACTAAATTTACTATTTATTTTAAATTCATGTTTAACGGCCTTTTGCATAAAATGTAGGTACTATGTTTCTTTTAAAAAAATGGTAAAGACGCTAATGGTTACTTACTTGTGAAATACCCTTGACGATTCCTTTTCTTATTTCTATTTACAACTTACACGAACTCCAACCATTGTTAAAATTTGTAACAATAAAGTAATAAAATACAAAAAATCACTTATAAACTACAAAAATGAGCTAGAAATTAATGAAAATCAAAAATCAAATGACAGTTCTGACAATTTCGAACGATTTGGCATGCCAAGCAAAACGAAACAGACCAATAGGAATGCTGGACACTATTTTGCCCCCATGTACCAAAAGAAAATCCATTTGGACGATGGCTCTATGAAATATATATGCTCGAAGGTTAATCCTCGTAAAAGTAGTTACAACTGGTGAGAAATCAGCTGACAATCGTAAAATCAAAAGCGCCGCTGCTGGGTTATTATACTTCCACTTTACCTCTATGCAGTGGTAATATGAATATTAAAGAAGGAAATAGAAACAGTTTAATCTTTATTTTTTGCTTTTTCTTTTAGCACCAAACGTATACTCCGCCCATTTAAAAAATCTCTTTTCGTTTATTAATGATATTCATATTTTTCCTGTACAATGGAAATGCGCGCTACCGAATTAACACAAACCAATAATCTACATCTACAAAACTGAAACTGAATCACATATGCGACAGAATATACCTAGTCAAAGCTGGCCGATCTGGCAAAAATGTAGCCCATACACTACGTGTTTTATTTTTTAGAAAGCCGCAGGAGGTGGGGTGATAAGCGCGGGCATCCCAAGCGGTGCACAGACCATCCCGAAGCCACCCACCTAAAGAGATTAATATGACCTGGCGAGGTTTTGTTAAATCTTCCACTGGTCCGCTCTGGACTCATTCTCATCTATAAACTGACAATAAGATCTGTTCGCACTCTATGGATACTACTTAATAATTAAAATTTATACCATACAATTTATTTTACGTATATTTTAGAAAGTCTAAAATAATTTCTATAAAATGTGGATGAGAGAGTTCTGTAGGTCTACAGCAATTATGCACCAGCTGCCATTGGTGATATAATTTCACACTTATTTAGATATTTTTGCGATATAAAAGGAGGTAAGTAAGTCATAATTTATTTGGCTTACTGTGGTTAATTAATGAAGATTATATCCCAGGGGCAGTGGCAGCTCGTGGGCACTAGCGGTAGTGGGGCACATACTATAAAGGAATCGCGGGATTTGTTTTTCCCTTAGGAAAACAAGTTCTCCGCTTAATGAAAATTAAATATATTTCAAAACAAATTAAATAATACAAAATTGACGACTAACTGCTAGGTACCACTGCAGTTGTATACTATTTCTTATAGTTGAAGTCCATTCTTCTAGATTTTTGGCTAGCGAAGTGATCGATGACCAGATTATTAAAAATTTGGAATGGACCGAATAGGTTTTTTTTCGATGGATAACATGGCTAACGCGCACAATCTTTCTTGGCACATAGTGTTCCTTAAAAATGTTTTTTTACTACTAACATGAGAAATCACCATTATTTACTCCATTCCTCTAATGAGAAGTAATATTTCTCTCCCTAGGTAAATAATGATAATAAAAAAAAACCTAGGTAAATAATGAAACTAAATTTCATTAGTTTCATTTTGTTAATTTGACAACTAAACTCCCAGACTACTTGATATTTTGAAATATTTGAAAAATAAGTAGGAAATAACTAAAGCTGGGTTTATCAAATCTAATCAAATCAAATATGATAATATATATATATATATATATATATATATATATATATATATATATATATATATATATATATATATATATATATATATATATATATATATATATATATATATATATATATATATATATATATATCAGTGTAAACAGTAAAAATATATATTAACTAGGAAATTCAACACCGGCTTTAAAAATTATTAATTAATAACAATAAATCCATGTCATTAAAATATCAAAAATGCAATGGGATATTTCCTAGAATCATACCAAAATTTGACACATGCCAAATTTTTACATAAATAAAGCCAGAAACACGCTCCAGTCTGCTTGATATTTCGAAATATTTAACAAATTGTTAGGAAATTACTTATGTCAAAATTAAAATTGCTAATACATTAATGTTAGTAGTAAAAAAAATTCTATATATACCTCGGCTGAGAAAGCTATTATTTACCTCGCACATTATATCCCTCGGCGCTACGCGCCTCAGGATATAAAAGTGCTCGGTAAATAATAGCTCACTTCTCACCCTAGGTATATAATGTACTATTTAATACGTTTTAGTGACGAAAAACATCTTTCACTCTCCACTGTAGTCATGGGAATTGTACACAGGACAGTTAGCAGCTCCACAGATTCCGAAAATGTAATTGTCAAATTGTTCTCAAAAAACATTTGTAATAACGGTACGGCCCCATTGTATTGCACAAAGTCATCTCGAGTGTAAAGTATGGACAGTTCGTTTTTGAATTTTAAGCTATTTACGTTTGGAAATAAACTACACACAGTTTTAACGGCCTCATTTGGAAAACAACCTCGGTAGTCTTTAAATTTTTCACTATCAAATAAACTTTCAATTGTTAGGTAATTAGTAAAACTAAAAAGTTCATTTATCTGCACTACTATTGTATCACAAATTTCCTTACATATCTTTAAATTAGGAATGGGGTCATCCTTTTCAACAAACCGTCTCTTCTTGCTTGTTCTTGGACCTGATTGGGTGTTGTCGTTTAAGTTTAGTTCTTGTGGGTCTTGTTGTGATTGCCATTCTTCATGAATTTGCATGTCTATATTATTTCTCATATTTTGAATAGCTGCTGCAAAATTTGATATGTTTATCTTAACCCTGAGAGCATCGTGCTGTCTACTCTGCAGTTGATCAAAAAATATATCGCAATTTGGCATTATTTTGCTGAAGAAAATTAACCAGAAACTAAAATCTGTCTTTCAAAATTTATCAACCCTTTAGTCTGATTAATAGTTTTTTTATCGAATTCTGTGTTCATAATTTCTTCGAGACATTTAATCAAATCCTCTTTATAAACATAAATAGTATTGACACACTTCGATGTAAAATTCCATCGTGTAGGAGCATTTTAAAGCATACGACTCTGAAGAAAAGGTGTTTGGCAATTTAAAATCTCCCAGCGAAAAATGTCTCTTTTATATTTTCAAAATTTCAAAAATAGAATTTGGTCATCCTTGCCAACAATTTGCGAAAATGTACACCATTAAATTATTTATAAGACTCAGAATTTTTTATACTCTTAAATATGCGAACAGAGATTTGAAATCCTCGAAAAAGTCAGACAAACCCAAAAGAAGAATTAAAATTTTGTCCCATTCGTAAATATTGATTTTTTTTACCATATTTTTGACTGCTTTATAGTTTTATTTCTTAACTATTCCAATAGTCCAACTAACTTTTTTTCTTAATCACAATAAATAAATGATTATCATGGTCCAACAAACGCGCACCTTAACCCGAAACCGGCATCGCCTTTATGAGGGAGCCGGTAAAGATGCCGCAACATTCGTATCTGGTCTAGGTAATCTGTGCCATGGGTACAGCACGTCACGATGAGGAAGGACAGCGCCCCACTTGTAAAGTATAATCCATCGCATGTGTTCATTTCTTGCTAAGCAATATTATTGTTGTCCTTGTTTTTCGCATCATAATGAGAGAGAAAACAACAGGCACACATTTATTGTGCCCTGTGCCTATCTTCCATTTAATTTCGGAATTCTCGGGACGTCGCTCAACGCCCGGTCGTCCAGTGTCGTGCCAACGCGGTTTGCGCTGAATATTAGATAAAATAATAATAGGCATTGAGGAAAATATAAAATATGTAAGTTATTTTTTTTTTTTTAGTTTATTATACTAGGGCACGTGCCCAAGTGCCTTTACGGGCAAACCGCCACTGCCCAGGGGTAAATCAATAACAAAGTAAAGATGGGTCTCTACAGTTTAAGCAACATTACTTTACGTTTAGTTTCTAGCCTTTAACTGTATAAGGGTCCTACCCTTAAGATAGTACCTCAAAAGATAAAGAAACACAGTCCTTTCTCAAAAGAGAAATATATTAACAGTTAAAAATAGTTCGTTCATAAAAAAAGAACTGACTACTTTGTAGATAATGCTTTATATGATAATTCGTCTTCTGTATTTTCCGTGGACTTGCCTGGATTAGGAAAACGGCGGTGGATTTTCTTTTCGAAAATTACATTTGACAATATGTATGAGCCTTTGCTTATGCTTTTCGGAACTTTATTTTCTATAATGGAATTCCGTTTCACGATTTGCTTTTGAATTCCTGTATAAATCATAATAATATGTGAATTCGATCGAATCAAAAAATCATCTTTTATCTTCTTTTTTGTTGGCCGTTACCGCATAATGTTTTAATTCATAGCAGTGAAAAAGTTTAAAAGATCTTATGAATTTCGTAAAGCGATATAGCAACGTTACATTTTAGAAAATATTCGTATTGGGCCACCCGGTACAATTTAAAATATTTAAATTGTTTACCTAGTCAAACAGGTAAAATAAATCACTTATCAGTTAACCTAAATGAATTTTAACTAGTTTTAAAAAAACCAGTCCCCCAATTCCTTAATGGTTGAAATTATATTGCAACTATAATTAGTATAAGCTATCGATCAGTATTAAACTGTTTCTAATTCTTTTATAAATCACCAGCTATTTTATTGCTGTTTTTTTGTGTTTGTTTTTTGGCATGTTTGTTTTTTGTTTTTGCTTAGAAAACCGGTAACGCCATACGAGCTCTCGGCCGAATGGCAACGCTATCGGCAAGCCGCAGAAACTCAGCTAACTCTAGTCCTAACACACCAAGACCATCCCTGTCTGGCGTTTCATCACCATCGGTAGGCAGAATGTCCAGCGTCAATGAAGAAGACTCTTTCCGATCTCCCATCAACATACCATTAAACACCAGCGACGTGGAACAACAAGATACCGATGTAACAGACGATTCATTCGAAGATATTATCGAAGAACCTGTTAAAAAGACTAATGGAGACATAGAAGATGTAGATAATGATAGTAGTAAAGAAGAAATTGAAGAAAAATCAATCGGGGACGAAGAAGAGCAAAGTATAACGCAGATAAAAGAGACATACGAGAAGATAAGTAAAAGATTGAATGAATTAGAAGAAAAATGTAATGATCTAATAGATACGCAATCACCGATAGACAAATACCGCTTTCTGGAGAACGGTACATGTTTCAAAAACAAGCTAAACGCCTTCAAAAAGATGGAAGAGCCCGTAGAAAAGCCCGTCAAAGAAGTTAGAAATGGCAAAGAAATAAAGACGAGAGCTTGCAGCGAGAGGAGCGATAGCGGCTTCAGCGATTGCTCTACTCTATTTACTTCGACAACGTCCACTCCGCTGTTAAGCAAAAAATTCTGCATCGACGAAGAGAACGAGGAGAAAATTTTCGATACCAGCGCTACTCTCTATTTCAAAAATCACAGGAACAGTTTTAGGAGTCCGAAAGCGAGGTCAATTGAAAATAGTGAGGAGGAAATTTGTAAGGAACAATCAGAAGAGGTGGACGGGAAGACTAATAACAAAGGCGGTAAATACAAATTGAGCGAGAAGATTGATAGATTTACTAAGGGTTAGTTGTTTTTTTTTGCTTTTTGTGCTTTTTAATTACGTTGATTTGTACTTTTTGTTTAACCAAGAAAATGATTACGTAATATTCAATTTCTACACCTCGTTATTAAAATACATGTAGATATTAAAACAGATTAATATTTAGGCTTACCTGGAATGTGCAATAATATTTTGAAATGAGTATTTTCTCTAGCGTCACCATGGCAACACAGGTATTGTTTCGGAAATTTTTCTTCGCTGGGTACCCTGGAGCAAATTATAATGGGCATTTTTAGACGTAACTAATCATAAAATAATGATTTAATAATTACAATGAACCAATGTTTATATTATTTATTTTGAAAATTTAACATAAACTACAAACGGTACAAACAATATTAAAAATTCCTTCGGCACAAATACTGGAAAAAATATCTGATATAGGTCAATTTGACAATTTATAGTATGAACATATTACCCCCTCTTGCACCCTCTCTGAAATATGGGCACTTCTCTAAAATTTTAAACATGAAAGGAGGTCGTGTAGCACCTTGTTTGAAAGGAATTTTAATTCTCTCTTCAGCAATATAAAGTTTTTTAAAACTAATTTTGAAAATGTAAAATTTGTATGTCTTCATCCTAAAATTTTACGAAAAATAAAGCAAAGAATTAAATGTAAAATAAATTGAAAAATACACTCTAAATAGTATGTAACATTATTTGCTTCATTCTACGAAAAGTTTTGTGATTGTGACATTATCATAATTTTAGATTTTCAAAATTAATTTTCTCAGTTATGATTTCACCAAATTTAAAAACTTTATATTGCTGAATAGATAATTAAAATCCCTTTCAAACAAGGTACCGCACGACCCAATTTTGTATTTAAAATATTGGAGTGGGTGCTCATAATTAGGATTGGGCGAATATCAAAATAAATATTCGATCAGCGGTTATTTAAAATAATCGATTATTTTCCATTAATCGATTATTCGAAAATAATCGATTACTCCTAAATAATCGATTAATCGAAAATAATCAATTAATCGAAATAATCCAATAATTGAAGTAATCGATTAATCGAAATAATTCAAAAAAAGTTGTTGTCCACAACACATTTTTTATTAGATTGTAAGAAAATATATTTTTTGTATTTCCTTTAAAGTCCATTATTCGATTAAACGATCCTTAATCGAAATAGAATATAAAAATTATCTTTAAAAAATCGAAAATAATCGATTACTCGAAAATAATCGAAGATCGATTTTTCAAAATAATTAATCTACTAATCGATTATTTTGCCCACCCCTACTCATAATTCGGGTGCAAAGGTAGGTGAAGGATAGTGTTTTCATGCCATAAATGATCAAATTAAGAATAAAAATCGACTTGTTTCAGGTTTTCCCAAAAGTACATAATATCGCTAAAAATGAATTCCATACACATGGACCGCACTGTATACAAGTCAATGGTGGCTTTAATTTAAAATTTGTTTAATATAAACAGGGTGTCATATACATATTTTTGATAATTTTAGATTTATTTTTATTTATTTTTTGGATTTATTTGACATATTTCAAAATGTTGTGCAGTTGAAATTAATTAATTAGTTACTCTTGATTACAAAATAATTAATAATTTTTTGTCAATTCATTACAATGAGAATCATTAAATTATTCAAAAATGTATAGGGTGTTTGCAATTTGAAGTTTTATTACAGTAAAATATTTTTATTTTATTTTATGGTACCAATATAAAGGAAATATAATTTACTTTAAAAGTTCTATAAGGTTCCCACATCTACTATTTTCAGACTTATCGATAGTTTCAATGCATCAATAAATTTGAAATATTTACCAATAATTTCATGTGAAAAAAGACATACGATACCGGAATTTTCAAATAAAATAATAATTTTTAATAATTATTTTTTTAATTGGTGTCTAGTATTATTAAAAAATATAGTTAAAATGTTTATTTACATTGTTTCAAATCCCCAAATTGACAGTCCTCAAGGGTATTACGAATATCCTCGGCAATTTTCGGTGGAAATTGGAAAATTCATTGATCTCACCCTGTAGTGTAGATCAAGGATGAATCATATTTTATATTTGAAGGAGTTGATTAAGGATGAATATTTTTATTATATTTATACAAAAGCAATAGAGATTAAAACACGCTGGTTTAAAAACATAATAAATTTTAATTACTATGAAATGAACCATGGAACTTTGCACATTGATTATTCTTGTAACCTTCAAAAAAACAAAAATTATTGATTTAACACCTTTAACATTATCATGATAAAATGACTTAAAAACGAAAAGCTTGTTTATATTGAAAATTATGATTAATTTTGTCTAACTTTTTAGTAGAGTCCAAAATCTTAAACAATATTCCTCATACATAATACAAGTTCTTTAAATTTAATTCACTAAACTTACATTTATTTTAAATTTATGTTTAACGGACTTTTGCATAAAATGTAGGTACTTATGTTTCTTTTAAAAAAATGGTAGATACGCTAATGGTTACTTACTTGTAAAATGACCTTGACGATGGCTTTTCGTATTTCTATTTAAAACTTACACAAACTATCACTATAGTTAAAATTTGTTTCACTAAAGTAATAAAATACATAAAATCACTTATAAACTACAAAAATAGCTAGAAATTAATGAAAATCAAAAATTAAATGACAGTTCTGACAATTTTGAACGATTTGACATGCCAAGCAAAATGAAATAGACCAATCGGAATGCTGGACACTATTTTTCCCCCCTGTACCAAAACAAAGTCGATTTGGATGGACTAAGAATAAGAATCACCAATTCTGCTATTTCCAACCTTATTTTGGAGAAAGTCCAAGATAAAGTGGGAAAATATGATTTAGGGAAACCAGAAAAACCTAAATCACGATTCTGGCTACGGTTGCAGAGGAACGATTCTATTTTGTATTCGTTGCTTCAGTTGTGCTTAACGCCATTGGTTAAATCTGTTAACCGTGTAAATTACTTAGTTGTAACGCCCGATCGTGAGACATTATGTTAATAGAGAGGTGAAAGATGGTACTGTTTTCTATGTCTTTTGTGATTCACGTCATGTTTGACTGTGCAATTATATGTTTTTACTTCGAGCTATATCTTGACCTTGCAGTTTTGTTGTTACAGACTTGCGTTACCTTTTAAAAGGCGGATGAAAGTGATAAAGTTTAAATTCTTTATATACGACACCCAGCTTATGTTTCGTGTTCGTTAGTATTTATATACAGACAAATAGTTGTATTTTTAAAAAATTCATTTTGATGAAGAGTAAGTTTCTTTAAGGTTATGTGCTGCGACAGTTTATCTTTTATGATTTTACGATGTGTTGTCAAATCATCTCCTATAACAAAATACCGGAAATAAATAAATTTATGATTAGTCAATATAATTATTCAAACTGTCATTAAACATTAGAATGGAGATAAAAAACAACTTACTGATCATTTAAATCCATTGCCTTGTAACGTTATCCCTGTTAAATTATTAACCTAACCCAATTTCGAATATTAATGGATAATATGGAATGAATAGAATATATGGAATGTAATATATAGAATATATGGAATGTTCGAAAAGCTGCTGTAGAATTTATTACTGCTATTAAGTCATACTAGAATAAAAAGTGTTAGTGATTTAATTTCACACATATTTAGATAATATTGTCACAGTATACGTGCTCTCTTTATAAAACGAGGTGACTGACTCACAATTTACTTCGCTTACTGTGATTTAGTAATGAAGCTCGGCTTACACTATATTCCGATGGTCATTAAACGTTTATGGTGGAATGATAGGCAGTTAGTAGGGCCTTACTTTTTTGATGGCCATTAAACTCGAGGAAATTAGTTTTAATTTTTGAAGAAAGATTTTTGGAACCTTTTAGAGGATATTCCTTTAGATATTAGATCAAAAATGTGGCTACAGCTAGAAGGTGCTTCCGCCCATTTTTTCGCATAAGGTAAAAACATTTAAACCGAAAATTTCCTAAAAAAATGGATGGAAAGGAGAGGTTCTACTAATTGGCCTCTAGATCACCAGATTTAACCTGATATGTAAAAAGTATAGTTTATCAAACTCAGCCGACCATCGCCGAATATATAAAAACACAAAAAAAATTGAAATCAGGGCCTCAATTCTCGAACTGTGTGAATTGTTCACTCATTAGATAATTCACTTCACATGATAGATTGTGTGACAAGTTCACATAGGTTTTATCATGTGGATGTTGGATATTTCGTATGAAAACCATCTTGTATGGTTATGTCGTCTGTCGAGTCTTCCGTCAAGTTCTATGATTAGGTATTAGTGTGGTTGTCGAGAATTAGGCATTCCAACGACCTGTCAAAATGCTCCCAGTGGGAACTGACAGATTAGATATGGCAACCCTGTGGGCCCGTTGTCACTGACAGGGTCAATGATGCATATATAGTTATATAGATTGCTCAAAGAGGGTCGTTTGCGAACCGCCATATTGTCTGGCAAATGTATTTTAAAACCAATTTCCAGCCTTTGAATATTTAAAAAAAGTAAATACCTATATTTTTACTTCAAGGCATAAGCTTATGTTTATTTTTAAAAACATGGATGTTCAATCTATATAACTATCTATATCATTGATCCTATCAAACCACCAGACCTATTCGCGATTCAAGCTGTGATACGCCCTCTGGAGGAAATTTTAAGTAGGATATCGTTCGGTGTTGCCAGAAGTAGCAAAACTTCGCTACGTCGTCGGATTTTAGCTTTTGAAGAAGTGGATAAGACTTTTTATTTATCAAAATTTGTGTGTGGTAATATGTAATCATACTCTATATTTATTTAAGGATTTTTTTATAAAACCGATTTATTATATTGATTTTTTTTAAATTTCAGTTCATTTATTAATTTTGTTTTAAAATCAGTTGATCATTTGGCAACATTGGCATCGTGTTCATTGTTTACATTTTAATTTGTATCAATTACAATTCGAGTTTTTTCTTACTTTTTAGCTTTAAATTTGTTTATTTCTTATAGTATGTGATAGTGTTTATATTAAAAATGAAATCTGCGAAAACGTCCCCAGAAAATTGCAATCTATATGTCAAAATCAAAATTGAAGTATTCAATATTTTCAAAGTGCAAGTCGTAAAATTTTGTTTTTTACGATAAATGAATATCTACAAATTCACAATATTGAAATTTTACAAAACTTTGTTTAGAATCAAACTGTAATCTGATTTGTGACGGTTTTATTACCATTTACATGTATACAAAGTACTACATGATTCACTTCATAATATAAGAATAAGTCTAGGAAGATTTTTGAATAAGTTCATTAATATTAAACGTGTGGTACCTGAAATGTCCTTTAAACCACATAATAAAACATGTCCTGGGTTTAGTGAATACATATTTCTAGATGTTCTTGTAGCAACCAACAGGTGAATATTTCCAACAAATAAGTCATACACATGATAAATATTATATTTATGACGAAAGCACGAGACTTAAACTTAAATTAACACTAAATGAAACTCAAAAACACTATTACAATGGGAATATTATCTAAAAACAGTTAAAACAATCACAAATACAAAATCCGCCCAAAACAAAAACATGTAAATAAAGAAACATCCTACTTATAAGTGACAAATGACAGGCGCGCGGAAATTAATTTGAATCGCGAATGTTGCCATATTAAAACGTATCATGTATCTGTCAGTGGCCTGTCATTTCAAACGGGCAGCCATTTCGTTTGGAATGGAATGCCTAATAGGGCCCCAGAATGTATATTGACAGTAATTGACATCATTTTGGACACTTATTATAATTTTTAAATTTATTGACAATTTTTGGAATAAATATGTTTATGCAATGCCTCTGTTAAATTAAAATTATTAGTAAGCAAATGTATGAAATTTATTCAAGCTTTGTAGCTATTGATAAATAATAATCAGTCTGGAAATAATAAATATGGGTATAGGAAACCTTATAGAACTTTTAAAGTAAATTACATTTTCTTCATATTAGTATCGTAAAATACAGAGTGTGTCATTCAAATTAACGCAGATATTAAATAACATATTTTACTGTAATAAAACTTTTTTTTAATGATTCGAACAAAAAATTACACTTTATAGTGAACTGCCAAAAATAGTTAGTTTTTTTTAATCAAGTTTAATGTTAAATATACAATTAATTTGTTCCAAAATGAATCCAATACGGTCCTGTCTAACTTAAATAATGTGTAGAACATAAGCAGACAGCGTAAGTTTGCATACACTAGTCCAGGACCGGTTTTAGATTTTTAATTTTATCATTCTTACTTTTGAGTTTTTTGAAAAAAAATTTTTACCACTTCTGTACACAGTATCAACTTAGAATTTACCCTGTATACAGGTTGATTCAAAATTGAGTGCAAAGATTTTAAGGGCGTATTTACCAGCTAAAAAAATTTTTTTTTATATAATCGTATGTCCTAACTTGCTTTGTTTTCTAGATACAGGGTGTCAAAGATTTTTTATCAATTACTCAAAAACCTTTTAGCCGATTTTAATAAAGTTTGGTAGACTTATTTATCGTCATAAGGGCCTTCTATTGGTGAGAATAAAATACATTTTTAGTAATTCCAGTGGCGTCTCAGGGGGTTTTACTTACTTGATACTTATAGGTAAAATTATGATACGGCACTGCTTTTTTATAAGTAGTAGTTACAGTTTTTTTTTTTTAGAAAATGAAAACAATTATTAAATAAAATCACACTTTCATAACATAAATAAAAATTAAGACAGACTAATTGGCGACAATATCAATCATTTAGTAATTAATTTTTTACTTCTTTTAATAGGGCCAGACACAGATTTTTTTCTTGGAAACAAAGCTAGTTACGAGTAAAGTTCAAGAGGCAAGAAAGTTATATTATTGACCACCTAATCTAAACAAAAATTTTAATTGTTAAAAAACCAGTGTGGTACCATAATTTTACCTATAAGTATTAAGTAGGTAGCCCTCTGAGATGCCACTGGAATTAATAAATTTATTTTATTCTCACCAAAGGAATGCCCTTATAACGACAATTAAGCCTACCAAATTTGATTTAAATCGGCTAAAAGGTTTTTGAGAAATTGATAAAAAACCGATTTTTAAAAAACTTTGACACCCTGTATCTAGAAAACGAAGCAAGTTTGGACATACGATTATATGAAAAAATTTTCTTCTTTTTGGCTGGTAAATACGCCCTTAAAATCTTTGCACTCAATTTTGAATCACCCAGTATTATCCCAATACGTTTAATTTTTGGATATTTTAAAGTAATGAAAGTAATTTGGAATTTGTATGTCAAAACTTTGTGTTGTATTTTATAAGGTGTTGTTCTACAACTGATTTCATGTATTGGTTTTTCACGCCATTCGTTTTTGCACATCAGACAGTCTTGTCACTTTTAATATGTTCATGTATTTCAATAACGTCCTGTACTGTATTTACAAAAACAAATAGCTTATTTTTCTTTTGTTATTTTAGGTAAACCGTCCACTGCGACAGTCAGCTTAAGAAAATCACCGATCTACACCTACAGGGCCGTCGATGGTATCATCAAGAAATTCGACTCTTCCGATACCACCAAACCAACTGCTACCATTCCTACCATTGAGACTACCCCAAATAGATTCAAAACATCAAGCATACTAGAAAAACCGTCCAACCTCCCAGTTGGTACCACCAAAAACGGGCATTCTTCAAGATCGAACGATGGTTTGAATAGTTCTTTGAACGCTCCTCCCGTCATTAGATACAGAAGTCCTTCGCCATCTTTGTTGAGGAAGACGCAAGCCGTCATAGCCAAAGAACAAAGCAACGAGTTCTACATGGCTAAGCAGGCTTTGATAAAATCACCCCAAGAAGCGAAGAAAAGCGGTACGCGAATTCCTGCTAAATCGAATAGTTTTAATTCTAAAGATAAACCAAAAAGCGAAAGTTTTCGAAAAGCCGCAGCTTTTTGGAATTCGCCCTTAAACTGAAAAAAAGACGAATCAATTTAATTAACGACGTAGGTATTTTTCGACTAGATTTTAAAATGTTTATATTATTTTAATTATTATGGTATATCATATTGTGTATATAATTCTATTTATACCAAATAAGTGCCTTAAATGAGTTTTATTTTGTTAGAGATTAGGCTCTCAAAGTTTTATTTTTGTGTTATATATAAATATATTATATTATAAAAAAAATGAAAGAACTGTTATGCCCTCCAATATTTATGATTGTATATTTGACTTAATGAAAATGATTTTCATTGTTCTGTGTTCGTTTTATTTCAAAACCCTTCACATTTTTTATTAAACTCCCATCCACGTGTATATTATATTTCTTTCATAAACTACAGAGCTCTAGATATAGATGTTGGGACGAAGTGTAGTTTTAAATTAAATTGATATTATTTTTTAGCCACTTTTTTAATGGGATTGTATTAGTAATTTCCAAACCATACTAGTTAGAAAGTCGGTTAAATGGAGAAAAAGTTGCCTATCTCGAAGCTTAATCTAGCGGTGAAAATTAATCAAAAATAGCAGGTCCGGCTCTTGAGATAATTCGATAAAAGGAAATTCAATCGTTTCGGTTTTTTGGTTATCGTTCATTTATTTTCAGAACTACTAAAAAATATTTTAAAGGTTTTTTATTTGATAGTAAATTTTCTTTAATTCGACGTATTCATATTTTGCATCCAACGTTTCGTATTCTCCAGACCACCCTCAACTTATTTTTTTTAAATATGGCCCTGGATATTTTATAACATTATTTGAAATAACTTTTCGTCCTGAGAGAAAATATACCTACAAACAGGGAACAATACAGACGGAAAAAATATATAGAACAAAGAAAGGCTGTTAAAAAAATATGCAGAAATAAGAAAAGGCGTCACCAAGAAAAAAAAGTCGCAAAAATACAAGAAAATTACAAAAAAAATGAAATTAAACATTTCTATAAAGATGTAAAAGGTATACAAAAAAACACTCGCCAAAAAATATTTACATCCAGGATAAGGAGGGAAATTTAATAGGAGGAAAATGCGAGCAAATATAAAGATGGAAACAATACTTACAAAAATTACTGAACGATGAACCTGAATTTGGTAGGTATGCATTTTCAAAAAAGGAATCGGAATAGTTTTTAATTATTTATCTTATCAAAACATATTTTTTAATAGTCGCATAATTGAATAATTATTGATTCTCATTTATTTTTCCTAATCCGTACCAATAAAATTTGGATTACGGTCCATATTACCCAAAAACTGTCATTGAATGTCATTGTATAATACACCACTGGATGCAGGATGAAAAGTTATTTCAAATAATGTTATAAAATATCCAGGCCCATATTTAAAAAAAAAAGTTGATGGTGGTCCGGAGAATACGAAACGTTGGATGCAAAATATGATAACGTCAAATCAAAGAAAATTTACTATCAAATAAAAAACCTTAAAAATATTTTTTAGTAGTTCTGAAAATAAATGAATGCTATTTTCGATTAATTTTCATCGCTAGATTATGCTTCGAGACACGCAACTTTTTCTCCATTTTACCGACTTTCTAACTAGTATGGTTTGGAAATTACTAATACAATCCCATTAAAAAAGTGGCCACCCCATATGTGAACATTTAAATAGAAAAACCATCTGTTTAGAGATTTATTAGAAAATTCTCATTTGAAAAACATTTTAAACTGTGACTAATGCGTAAAGTAAACATAAACCTTAGATTATACAAACTGTAGATAGAACATAAGACATTACGCATGAACCCACTTCGATATTATTCACACCGCCCAATTAGAGTGTTGTTCGTCCAAATTTTAATTCAAATCTATTGCGTCAACGAGAATTAATTTGGTATTTTAATGACTTAAATTTTGGAAATTAACGTTGAAAATATGTTGTAGAAAATTGTATTTATAATAAAAGTGCGAAGTGTGACTCCGATAAAGGAAATTTACATTAATTTCGGTAAGTTATTTAATTTCTAGAGATTCTATCGACGGCCATATTTATTTATTTAAAAATAAACAGAACCAGACTTGATCATTGGTACATACTAAAAGTTGCAAATTGGATAAAGGTTTTTATTGTTTTATGGGGATTCTTTTTTCTTCCTTCGATAAGAGGGAAGTATTGTAATCGTGAAAAAATCACCCTCTAAGATTATTTAAAATTTTCACGTTTCAGGGTTTCTATATTACGACAAACATGTTTCCCCATTCCGTCGGTCTCTCTGTTAGCGCGATAACTCAAAAACGGCTATATAGAAAAACTTCAAATTTTGTATACAAATAAGGTTTCTTACCGGCTCAACACCAGTTATACTTCCGATCCGTTCTGTATCTATAACGTGTGGAGGGTGGGTTACCTATCCCACGTCACTTAGACCTCATTAGGCCCATTGTGCATCCTCCTGAGATGATAGGCACCTCCTAGCTCGAGAACCAGCCTACAGATTTAATGTAGTTGACAACATCGCCTAGAGGTGCTTCTCTTATATTGGCCGGTGTTAGCCGATACTCGCCGAACACAAATCTTCTAATAAATGAGAGCGTCGAGCAATCGTAAAGGAATGGTCTCATCTTCTTGTTCGCACCATCTGTAGAGTGCGGATTCTGACAGCCTCATAATATAGAGATGCTTTCGTACTTGGCAATGACCCGTCAGAATGCCTGTGACTAGGCGCAGATTATGTCTAGTCATAGTCAAGTATTTGTTGGTTGCAGTATTGTCAGGATAACTTAAGAGATCCCTGGCAACTCTGCAGTTTCTTGTTTCATCCCATCTTTCCTTAAATTTCACAAGGGAATGTTCTTTGATTAGGTCTGTCACTACCGATTTTGTCAGGCTAATAGAAGGGCCAGGTCCAAAAAGTATTTGGTTAGCTGCTTTCTTGGCTAGTGAATCAGCAAGACGGTTACCTTTCGATGTGGCGTGACCTTTGATCCATCTTAAGGTGACCACATTATTGATGGATACTTCGGCCAAAGCTTCGTGACATTCTAGTACTAACCCTGAGTAAATTCGTGGTCTGTTCAGGGTAAGTAGTGCTTGTCGGCTATCTGTATAGATGAGCATGTTCCGTCCAGTGATATTGTTTCTGGTTATTTCTTTGGCTGCTATGAGAATCCCCGTTAGCTCTGTTTGAACTACACTGGCACTATTGCTCACAGACCATTTTATGTTTAGGTTTAAGAATCTGGAGTATATTCCACATCCTGAGTCTTGTTTTGTTTTAGAACCGTCGGTGTAGATATGAATCATGCCTGTTACTTCCGGCTCTTCTATTTGTTCTATTATAACTTTATATGGCTTATGAAAGATATATTTCGGTGATATGGAGTCCATGTTCGCTTGAAGCAGTGGGAGCGTATCAAGCGCCTCCTGCCAAAAGCGACGTCTCGCCTCACGCGTGATCCTATATCAGGTTCTATTCCGACCGTGCGGAGGCGTGCCATTGTCGTCAGAGCAACCTCCTTGATGTAAATATCAAGAGGAGTGAGACTATAAAAGACTTCCATGGCTCTGGTTGGTGTGGTTTTCATGGCTCCTGTTATGTTGAGACATGCTGTTCTTTGAATTTGCTCTAGTTTACGGATAGCTGGTAATTTTTGGATTTTCGTTACCCAGACAACTGCACCGTATATTAGCATAGGTTTTATGATAGCCGTGTAAGTCCATGCGACGACTCTGGGGGAGAAACCCCAGGTGTGCCCCACGGTTCGGCGGCATTGTTCATAAGCAATGCTCTTTTAACTCTGTTTTCTAAATGCGAGTTTCATGTTAACTTGCTGTTAACTTGCTGTAGTATGACAAGGTGGCTTATTGATAATAAAGCACGTAGGGTTATGGTGAAAAACCTTTTATTATCGGAACAAGAAACTAACATATATAACTCAGAAACGATTGAACTAATATAATGTAATAAATGTTTGTATTGTTTATTCGCGTATGAATAGAAGGATTGTCTTGTATGTACCCACTGAATAACCTGCTGTAATATGTGTACGTTAAAACCACGTTTGTATGTATGTGTGTAAGAAATGCGAGTTATCTACCGTCTTAGTCGATCGCGCTAGACAAACTAAAACAATACGCCGTGAACTTCACAGAACACTGTCCCAGTGGGGTACCGTCAAAAGACGGTAACCGTGTTACCACATTCCTCCTCCAAAAATTTAGAGTTTAATCCATATATCGAGATGGGAGTTTTCTGTCTCTAATTGGGTTTCTTCTGGCACGTTTTTAAACTCATGTTGAACTACTTCTAGTTCAGCTGGTTCTTGGAGCGATTCTGTATCTCCCACATCGTAAAAACTTTGATTTGAAGTATAGATTGATGGATATCAATGTCTTGCAGTTCATTTCTATTCTCATGGAGCGGCATATTTAATCTTGTATGCTCAGCATCGTTTCCATTTAGTGTTTTTTGTAAGTCAGGAGTAACATCTGATATCCGTTTTCGCATCTGGTCAGAGTGTTTACGACGGTTTCGCTTTTGTATCATCTGTTCATACTCCATATTTTTTATAACATCATTCTTCAGTAAGTCAAAACGTGATATAAGATGGCGTCCAAACATTAGCTGGCTGTCCTGTTTCTTGATCTCCTAATGGTGTTTCTATATGAAAACAAAAAACTGTGGAGTCTCTGACATTGGTCTAGTGTTTGATCGCTGGCCCGCATTCTATCCTTGAATGTGCGCTCGGCAAGTCCATTTGATTTTGGGTGATATGGTGTCACCTTAACATGAGTGATAGCATGTCCACTACAAACTTCTTCAAATTCATTTAAAGTGAGTTGAGGTCTATTGTCTGTAATGAAGAACTTCGGTAATCTCCAACCGGTGAGTGTAGGAGTCAATTAAAATCAACCACATCTTCTTCTCGAATGGACCAGCAAAATCTAAATGGAAGCGTGACCAAGGCTCCGGAGATATACCCCATGGATAAAGTGGTGCATTTCGATCATTTTCTTGAT